TTTAAAACGGCATCTGTAGGAGCGCTACTTAAGTTTTGCACTATGACAAAGCAGAAAAAAAACATCAAGGACAGTTTTTATGAAAGTTAAAACTGTGCATTTGTTTGCCATTGCTACTACCCAAAATTCCATTTATTTCTTAAATATATTTTGTAATCTCACTAACAAACTTGAATTTATTCTGGGCTTTAACTTTTCAAATGGAAGGGAAAGTAATATATGAAGAACTCTTAAATCAGATTACACTCCAAACAAAAATGCCCTGTCAAATTCAGAATTGAATTCAAAATCTTACTTCGAACCTACAAAGCTCTCAACAACCTAGCTCCACCTTATATTCAAGAGATTGATACATTTCCCTCAGGGATTAATAAAAGATTTTTGAATTGAATTTGAAATTTTGAATTGAATATTTTTCTAAATTTTCCTAACCGAGCACTTCGCTCTCAGACTGCAGGTTTACTTGCAGTTCCTAGAGTTTCCAAAAGCAGAATGGGAGGAAGATCTTTAAGTTATCAGGCTCCGCTCTTGTGGAACCAACTTCTAGTTTCTGTCTGTAAGTCTCACTCATTGTCCAGTTTTAAGACTGGGCTTAAGAATTTCCTTTTTTTCATAAATACTATAGTTAGGGTTAGGTTGTTATGCTGCTATAGGTTTAGACTCTTGGAGGACAAATTGACCTCATTTCCTTAAATGAATGGTTAAAATTGAATAACTTTCATTTGATACGATTTCTATCTTAACATGTGATTCTTGATCTGCCATTGTGTATCTGTTCCTACCAAACCCAGCCGGTCGAAGCAGATGGCCGCTTGTCCTGAGCCTTGTTCTGCTAAAGGTTTCTTCCTCATGAGGGAGTTTTTCCTTTCCACTGTCGCCTTCATGCTTGCTCAAGATGAGTTCTGTGATGGAGTTAAACTCAAAGCAGTCAGATAATGTTAAATTATTTTTTATATATATGAATGTTTCTGTTCAGTGCCCTGAGACGACTTGGAGATATATAAATAAACTGAATTGAATTGAATTGTATTTAACAGGAGGAAACAAATTTAGCTTTAAGATTTTTGCCATAGTTCACAAGGATGTGTCTGTACACAAGTGCAATTTTAGCTTCATCTATATCCACATGTACATGTCAAAATAAAATAAAAAAAACCAAAGCCACTTCATCTTCAGTTTAGATTACCGGGTACGTTGCTATCTCATCTACTGATCGATCCAGCTTTTGCTTCCTCTATCCCCCACTAAAGACGACACATTTGCAGCGCGTGATTAGGTTAGTCTCACACAGTTTCCACTGTTTTACAACCATGAAAGGAGCTCTTGTCCCTCATCCTGAAGGAGCCAATCAACAGTCTCCTGGTTTCCTCCAGGCTCTTTGAAGAGCCGCAGTGACTGAATGCCTCTGGGCTCCCACTACGTCCCCGAGACTCGGCTGTCAGAGTCCAGAATGGAAAGAGGAAAGGGTCAAATATCAGTCATGTCGAGATTTCAGACATTGTATGTTCTGTAGTGCTCAGTGTAGCATGATGTTATGTCTTGTTATAGTTTATATAGTGGCAGAATATGAGAAAAAAACAGAGAGCGATCATGAATCATGATCCCATGAGAGTAAATGGCAGAAAAAAGAAGAAGAAAAAAAAAACTACAGTATTATGGCTATTATTTTTTTTCTTTTAGCTGCTCCCTTCTTCAGGGGTTGCCACAGCAAACTGTCGTACAGAGACTTAGCAATTATTTTTACGCCGGATGCCCCTTCTGACGCAACCTCAGACCACCGAGCTACCACACCTCTCTGTGTAGAGTAAAGAGCTGCTATCCATTAATAATTATGACAAATTATTAATCCAACAAATAACAACGATGAATTTAGATTATTGTTTGATTCTGGCTGTG